TGTGTGTGTGTGTGTGTGTGGCCAGCTCAGCCCACCTGGGGGCGGGCTGGCTGGCATGTGGTGCTGGGGAATCAAACCGTGGTCCCTGTGCTTGGCTTGTTCCAAGTAGGTGCTTTAGACCACTGAGCCAACTCGCCAGCCCCATGGATTTGCTTTTTAAAATTGATTTGAGCATGTGTGTATGAGATGGAGCCCACGGCTTTGCATATGCTAGGCAAGGGCTTGACCACTGTCCTACAACTTCAACCCTTTTTATTTTAGAGACAGGATCTTTCTAAATTGCTCAGGTAAGGCTCAAACTTGAAATCCTCCTGCCTCAGCTTTCTCAGTAGCTGGGCTTATGGGCATGTGCTCAGCGCTTAAGGCCAATCTTAGGCAGAAAGTGCAGATCAGTGACTGTCACAGTGGAAAGCAATTACCACTGCAAGGAATTACTTTGGTTTTCTTGAAAAGCCAATTAATTTTGCTTATATTACGAAGAGGGATGCGTGATTATATTTTTCCCTCTGAACTGGGGATGGAGCCCACGGCCTCAGTCCTGCTAGGCAAGTGCTCAACCCCCGGGCTACATTCCTGGCTTTTTTTTTTTTTTTTGAGACAGGATCTCACTATGTAGTCCTGGCTGGCCTTGAATTCACTACCAATCCCAGGCTGGTCTCAGACTCCTGGTGATCCTTCTGTCTCAGCCTCCGTGTGGGATCACGGGTCACAACACCAGGCTTTTTTATTACTTTTGAGACAGGCTCTCATTATGTTGCCCAAACAGGGTTTGAAATTGTGATCCTCCTGCCTCTAGCTCCCAAGCAGCTGGGAATCACAGACATGCCACACCACACCTGGCCAATACATGGATTTTAAAATGTTCTGGGGTCGGCATAGTGGTGGCACATGCCTGTAATCCCAGTACTTGGGAAGCTGAGGCAGGAGGATCACTGTGAGTTCAAGAGCAGCCTGAGCTACAAAGTGAGTTCAAGGCCCATCTAAATTACATGGTGTGGGGCTGGTGAGATGGCTCAGTGGTCTAAAGTACCTACTTAGAACATGCTTAACAAAGCACAGGGAC